CCCCAAAACCCCAAAACCCCAAAACCCCTTGATGATAAGTAACGTCTATATTATAGATTAAATTTAAATATGAATTAACAATTAATGAGACCAGAAAACAATAATAACAACAACAATAATATACATTCAGCATCGACTAAATAACTTGGAGTTAGTAATATTGCTGCAGGTTAGATTCAAATGCCCCTGAGAATAATTTCATCGAAGGATTAATTGCAATAAATACACTAAAAACTCTAGCTGAATGACGCGGGTCCTTATCAAAATTAAATTGTTAATAATAATAATGCTGGAGGAAGTGGTAACTCACATCATTTTGATAGTCGAAATTATCTACAGATTTCTGAAAGTAAGTTTATATCTCTATTAGTATAGGTACTTACTCTTTTTTAGAATCAGAGCATTTGATGAATATTCTAGCAGGAAATGGAATGAGTTTATTAACTTTAAGTGAGGATTTACCAACTAGAAACGCTGCTTAAAACTAATAATAAATTTCATTAAACACTCAGTCCTAATGGTACACTGAAATATTCTCTTGGGGTTCAGATCAGTCAGGCTAGCTGGGTTTAGGTTAGAATCAAATTGGGAAATCATATCCTTTACCTAGGTATTGCACTTATAACATTGGAATAAAATTTGTTTCATGTGGAGATGAGCATGCAGCATTTATTACGAGTAAGTGTTGAAGCTATTTTGATATTTTTAGCTGGAAACTTGATTTACACAATGGGAAGTAATATGAATGGCTAATTAGGAATTAATGATGCCGATATCAAAATTAAAAACTCCCCAATATTAGTTGAAAGTATAATGGACAAAAAGCCAATATCAATTGCTTGTGGATAAGCTCACACTGTAATGTGTACAGGTAAAATTTGATAGTATATTTATTATTTTAGATTCAGGTGAGATATATTCTTGGGGATAAGGGATATATGGAGCGTTAGGCTAAGGTGAATTAGTGGATTAATATTTACCTAAGTTAGTCAAGATAAATCAAGATATAAACGATCAAATGCCAATTATAATTTAGGTCTCTTGTGGATAGAGATTTACAGCATTCCTTGATTAATCAGGAAGAATTTATGTATGTGGGTAAAATGAAGCAGGTCAATTAGGCAACGGAGGAAGAGATTAAGAAATATATCCCATTTTACTTAGAACTTTCAATGAGAGAGTAAAAATGATTGCATGTGGTTAGATGCATATGTTGTTACTTAATAGATCAGGGAGTGTCTTTGCAACTGGTGCAAATAGTTTCGGCTAGCTTGGTTTGAATAACAAGCGAAACGCTTCAACACCACAACTTATTTAAGATATATCACATATTCCTATGAAAACTATTGCTGCTGGTTCTTTCAGTGCAGCCATCTCTTATGATTCAGGTGATCTTTACATTTGGGGATCAGGGGTATTTGGAGAATTTCTTACACCTCACAGAGTTAAAACAATCTAAGGAATGACAGTAGATGTTTCTATAGGAAATCATTTTGGTGTTGCTTTAAATAAGGATGGTTTAGTGTATACATGGGGACATAATAATAGCGGAGAGTTAGGGCAGTTAGATTACTAAGAAAGAGCTACTCCTTAACTTGTTGAGAACTTGAAAGAGAGATTTGTAACTTAAGTATCATGTGGCAGAAACTTTACTATATCATTGGGATAAACTTTAAAAAACAATGAATAGCCTTAGAGAGTTTTGAGGGAAAATAATATCGAAACTAATAGGATGCACCAACCTTAAAATCATATTACCAATCCTTTTCTCAATGATTCCTTCCATAAACAATAGTAGAATCTTCATCCCGAATACCAATATAGGAACGAAGGCCTAGATCATCAAAATTAGAATTAAGATTCTTTTGAAAATACTAGAACGAGCAATTAACTTTCCATTGCAAAGAAAGTTAGAGTTAAAAAAGCTAAAGTTTAACAAAATAGTATCAATAAATCAGCAATAATAAGTAACTCAACTTCTATGACTTATCACTCATATTAAAACTCAACAAAAAATCGTTTGAAAAATAGGAAAGGCTCTAGATAATATACTCCATTGCGCAATTCTCCTTTAAATCGATCAAGATAAAGTATAAACAATAATCACAACTGCTCAAGTTGCAACGGCAATCAATCTAAAACTAGAGAAAGAGAGTGCTAGAGATGTAAAAATCATCACCATCATTAGCAAGAAAGGGAAAATTCAGCTACTCACTCTCATCATAAAAATATAATTCAACTTTAGGTTAAATCTAGAAAAACCAAAAGCAGTAATAAAATCAATACATCTTAAGACAGAATGACAGGTAAAAATGAAAGATTGAATGAGGGAATTACTGACTATAACGCTTATCATAGTTAAAATTAAAATTAGCCTATGACTCAGCCTCATTAATAGATTCCTCTTTAGGCACCGATGCCTAACGCCTAAATATTAATTGATAATACTCAAATATTGCATTAAAATCGTATTAACTAGCAATTAAGAGATGAACTTGATCATCAGATAGAGTTAGATAAGAAATATCAGAGAGAAATTCAGGGCTTATAAGATACTTTATGGAATGAAAAGATTTAGAGATAGAAGTATGAATCTCAGATATAGGAACTAAGTTTGAAGTTACAGTAGTAATATTCTGAGAACTAAGACTTGAAGAGCTAGAACCAGAGTTACTTGATTTACAAGGATAAGAATGAATCGATTGAAAGGAGATTCTTAGATTTAGATGGAGAGCTATCACGATATTCACATCTCAACAAAGAACTATTGAATGAAAACAAAGCACTTTTAGGTAAAATTAAGGAATTAGAGTAAATACTAGACAAAAAACGAAAGGAACTTACTAATAATGAATCATTAATGATTTAGTATGGGGAGAATCTGAGGGAATTAGAGATGCAGTTTGATCGCAGAGAATAAGAGTTAAAAATATTAAGAGATCAAAATCTGCAGTTAAAGGAGTCTCTGGATTAGGAGAGGACGAATAATACTAATGTAAAGTAAATTTAGATAGCTTATGAGGAGGAAGTTAACCGAAGATTGTAATGTGAAAAGGAACTAGAAAAGATAAGGAATGAATACTATGAAGGTTAAGCAAGTTAATCATAAGAACTTAGCAATGTAAGAAGAGCAGTTGATGACTTAAAATACCAGAATGAGGAAAGCCTGAAATGTATAAATATGAAAGATCAAGAGATATTGCTTCTCTAGAAAGATGTAACTTAGATTAGAATGATGCTAGATTAAGCTGGATAAGACTATTTAAATTCTAAGGAGGTTATCAGCGAGTTGGAGCAGAAAAATAGAAAACTAAATGAAAAACTTAATGAGGTTATATACAACAAGGCTGCGAGATATAAAGAAAAGACAATGCAAGCCTTGAAAAGAGGTGATAGTCCAGAGAGACATCAGAGAATACAAGATTACGGAATTAATATAGATTAGGAAAGAGAATAAAATAAGCCTCTTCACACTGAGGAGAGTTAAGCTATTTCAAGACCTTAATATAGAAACTAACTTAGTCCTCAAATTAATGCTTTCAATCATAAATCTCCTAATTCTCCAGATCCAATATCAAACTATAAAGTATACTAAGATCTTGAAAAATTTGAAATTAGTAATACCAAGCCTGCAAATACTAATCAAAGCAGTAACCAAAACCCTTAACAGCCTTAAAAACTCAAAAACAATTCTATGACTGAAAGACCTAAAGGAAATCAGATGACTATAAATGAACTCTATGCTTTTAATAATGCCCATTTGAGAAATGATAGTAGCTACACTTAAAATAACAGTTCTCCACTCAGGCAGAAGATAGGCCCAATTAACTATGATCCATCCCAACCCATGGTAATTAAACCTTAGTAAGTAGCAGTGATAAAGGAAGATTAGCATATTACTCCGTAGAGACAGGAATACTCAAATGCTTTCCACTAATATAAGGAAAAAGTACTTGGGTCTTGTGACAAACTAGCTAGCGTCTTAGGAATCAGCCCTAATTAAGTTGGCAATAATATCAATAATAGTGCTTAAAATTTTAATAGCTATCAGAATTTAAGAAGTAAGGGGGCCAATAGAAATGAAGATAATTTCTTTATTTCCAATTCAAAGGCTAATAATAATAGCTCAGGGTTTTATAATTCAGCTAAAAGCGATAAAGACAAAGATCTATCCTCCAACTTAGGTGCAAACAATATGAATTAACTTTAGCATCCCACTCAGGCTACTGCAATGACTTCGGTAAGAATCCATCATTCATATTATTTCAATTTAGTCTATGATCAAAAGAAGTCTGCATGATTTGCGATCTAAACTTAATGAAATGAAGAAAGACAAGGAAGCTGTTGAGCAAGGAATTAATGATTACGAGAATAAAAATTATAGATAATGATTATTTAATTACATTATAATATATATAATTAAACAATATGAACTCAAACATTATTTTCAATAAAGCCAATAGACAACTTCTTGTTTAATTCAAAGTACTCTAACCTGATTTGAAAAATAATCTCTTAATAGGGTTTGACTTACTAAGGTGTTAGATTTGCTGGAAATAAGCATTCACACGATCACAGTCACGATCATGGGCATGGCCATGTTGATCACAAGCATGATCACTCCCACGATCATCACGATCATGGACATCACGACCATCATCATGATCATCATGAATATGTATACAGCAAAGTCCACGATGCTAAGCTCTAAATCCCAACTGATGAAGACATTGCTTACCAACTCCCCAAGAAAATTATGTTCAACTAGAGACTGTACTAGTGGATATCAGGAAGATGGACTCCAGATAGAGATGATGTTCTCTGCAATGATAAAGTAAACAAATTCTCTGCCTACTACTGGTTCGGTCACTATTCTTTGTAAGTGATTCAAGCATGTTAATATGTTTTATTTTAGCTTGCAAAACAGATTGGTTTTGAATTTAGTTAGAAGCTTCTTCGACTCAGGAAACTAGCATGCTGCTTCTCATCACGATAGCTTCAGTGGAGTGAAGTCACATGAGAATGGACACTTCCTTTACAAGAGCACTCAAGCCGATGGCCTCGTTAGACAAAGATTTATCGACTACGTAATGCTAGGTTGCTTAGGTGCCACAGTTACTGGCATGTCTCAAGTTGCTATCATGCCATTCATCTACTTCCTTCTCTTCACTCCCAGAAAGGTTGCCATTATGACCTATTTCACTTTCTACGCTGAACTTCTACCACACACAGAACAAGTCGTCTTCCATAAAGTAGACTTCTTTGGCAGCATTAGAAGAATCTATGTAGATATTAAAAATCTTGAGAAAATTGATGCCAGCTAGGTTCATAGCAAGCTATTATGGAACATGAATCTATTCGACTAAGAACTAGTTTTCAGAGACTCCGAGTCAGGAGAAGTCTTTGTGTTTGAGACTAATGGGCTTTGGAACAAAGAAACTCTAGAAAATAAACTTATCAATTGAGATGAAGCGCGGAGTGCTGTTAGATTTGAATGGCAATGACTGCTTTTAGCCCTCACATTCCATCAATCGTTGATATTATTTAAACTCTTGTTCTAATAAAGCTACAAATTTATTTTAAGCAGAATATCATTATTATAATAAAATATATATTAAACATAATGGCAGAGACTGCTAATACTACAAATGTTGAAGTTGACAAGATTACTTACAGAAACTTCGAGAGTGAAAAAGACTTGGCGATCATAATAGGCTTAATCGAAAAGGAGTTATCAGAGCCATATCCAATATACACCTACAGGTACTTTGTTTAAAAATGGCCTCAGCATACCTATCTAGCTTTTTACGAAGATTAGTGCATTGGCTGTATCGTATCAAAGTTGGATGATCATCAAAAGCATGGGCAATACGAGAAATAAAAAAGAGGATACATTGCTATGCTTGCGGTGCATCCTGATTTCAGACGACTTGGACTGGGAAGAAAACTTATCTCAAAGACTCTTGATAAAATGAAAGAAGATGGAGCTGATGAGATCATTCTTGAGACCGAAATCACTAATCTATCTGCTTTAAGGTTATATGAGTCGTTCGGATTTATCAGAGATAAGAGATTGCTTAGCTACTATTTAAATGGCAATGATGCTTATAAGCTCAAACTATATGTTAAATGAAGTGAAGAGAAGATAAACTCAGTAGGCAAAGTTGTTTAGATAGTTGGAAGTTAATTGAGTGACGATTAATGTAAATTTAATTAGCATTAATACTTATTTAAACTTGAATTAAATACAAATTAGAACATACATACGCACATTGAATATGGCAATATCGCACAATTTTCAGGTTTATTTTGAGTCAAGTTTACTACTATTCTATTTACACTCTAGTATTAATTTCTAGCTTGATAAATCAATTGTTGCTTATTAATATTTGATCATTACTTTAGATTATCACCATCTCTTGGACTCAAAAGACAGTACAGCAGGAATCATTTCTCCTTGCCCATTAAGCAGGCTTTTTATTATATGTTTTATAACTCTCGATAACTATTATTTCATGAAGAGATTATCTAATCGCTTCTGATCTTTCCCTTCGTTCTCTCTCACTAAAGTTAATCTTTGATTCATCCCCTTAATTTTAATCAGTTTCGTTTTGAATATTTATCTCAGTATACACAGGTTTTGTACATCTGCCTTGAGATTGCTCTTAATTGACTATTAAATCTGAATAATGTTAATTCATCAACGTCATTTCATCTTCATCATCAATAGTAGGCAGCACTAAATTACTCTGATCATTGTCAGCTCCTATGAAATCCTCTGTGGGTATTTGGTCTTTGAAAGTAACATGAAAGCCCTTTGCTCCTTTAAGGATCTCGACTCCTTTTCTGTCGCATCTCTGCATATTTCTTTGCATTTTATTGCAAATAGTTTTGCTCTGATTGGGCTGCTGCCTTCGCATTCTGAGTTCTGAATATTTTCTATTAATGTCGTTCTAGATAAATGAGATAGAAGATGTCATTTTTTCAGCATAAATTTCATCATCCACTGGGAGAGTCACAATTTATTGCTCCATCATATGTATTAATTGAATTAAATATGGATTGGTTAATAATTATAATTTTATTCTAGCTTTTGTAGATAGTTTTCTTCAATTAAATAATCGAATTTAAATCAAAGTTTAATAGATTAAAGAGAAATTCAGTTGAAATAAAATATGAAAGCACCTAATCTAAAGAACTTCAATCAAATTAATGTCATGAATCCAAAAAGCATTATGAGGTATTTTCATTGATCAATATAATGTAAATTATGTTAGCCCAGTTGTGAGTCCTAGTATGAAATCTCCAAAAAGAAGACCCTATACATCCTAAAACTTTAGATAAATTAATAAGCAACTAATCAAATAGATTGAGAGAGATGTTTAAGACTTCAATTATGAGCATGAAAAAGCCTAGCAAAGTATTTCATAAAACTTTGAATAACTTCTATATTAGATGAATTGTTTAAAATGTCAAAGTTTAAGAGCATTCCTTCAAAGATAGGAGATCTAGTTAGAAAGAATAGAGATAAGGGCGATAAATATGAAAAAAATCTAGAGAATTAGCAAAAGGAGCTATAAAAGATGATAGAAGAGAAATAATTCATCAAGAGAAATGTTAAGTAGGTGCTCGAACTAAGCAAGTAAACCACGGATAACAGAAAGACAATTGAATAATTGCATAAGCAGATCAAGCAAAAAGAGGATAGTGTGGTTTACGGCAAACTGCCAAAGTATTTGCTAGATAAAAGAGCCTAGGAGGAGGTTGAAAAATAGCAGACGTAAGTAGCTAATCAATATTCATATTATTTTTATAGATTGAAGGAAATTGCTATGAACAAGAGGCCACCTGGAACAAGAATACTAGATGATAATGACAAAAATGATATATTAGACGATTTACTCAGATAAGAGGAAAATTTAAAGCAGAGGATTGAAAGAGTATGTATATCTCAAGTCACTTTGAGGGCAAAGAATGAGTACAAATCGCTTGTATAAGAGCTTAATAACTTATAAGAATCAATCAAAGTTCTTGGAAGGAAGAAATTTTTACTTAGAGCTTGATTAATAGATTTTAAGACACGAACTTACAAAGATTTCAAATTTTAATGAACCTAGCTTATTTTACTTATAATATAAACTTTTACATTCAGATTTCTAAAAATTATAAAGAGCTTTAATTATAAATAATTTATTAAATTTATAATGGACTAAGAAATCGCTTTAACAATGGTCAGACAAGTAAGAGACTCAAATCCTCTGAATCAGCTTTGTGCTGATTGTTCCTTGCCTGTATAGTTTGACTAGAGTTACTATAAAAACAGGGAGAGTATTTAGCCTCCCCAAGTAGAATGGGTATGCACTATTTTTAGTGTATTTTTATGCTCATAATGTGCTGGCTTGCATAGAAAACTGGGCCGATAGTTAAGTGAAATTAAATCCATGAGATTTTTATCTCCTTATGCTAGCTAAGCCTGGACTGAAAGAGAGCTTAGATAGCTTACACTAACTGAAGGAAATGTTGGCTTTAGAGATTTTATCCTGCCTTATAACATCAACTTTGATGGAATAGATAAGTATAGGACTAGAGCGGCTATACTCTATTTAAATGAGGTAAATCAAATGAATGTAAATTTAATACACATCTTTCTAGATAGATTAACAAAAGATCTAACATGAACTCAAGTTCATATTAAGATGATATGATGATGCCAGATACTTTGTCAATTGAAGATGCTAGATAATAAATCTTTGAGCAATCTGCTGATGATGATAGACTTGCTACTTTTGAAGATTCTTAAACTGAATATACAGTTCTATAATACAGATAGGGTGAAGAATAATTTGATAAGATAGTCTAGATTGCACTAATTGATCCCAATGATGCAAAAAGATTCGAGGAAAATATGCAAAATAGGTAAATAAAATTATATGATTAATTCTACATAGGTTTAATGAAAGAGGGCAGACAGTGAAGATTTCAGATATGGATTTAACAAACAAAATATAAATTGAGCCATCTGATGTGATACCTAAGAAATCAATGACTTCTGCAGAGAGTTAAAAAATTAGAGAATCCTCATTTTTTGGGGACATATTTTCCAAAGCAAAAAATGTTGAAAAAGTCATTGATAAATCGGTGGAAGGACTTAAAAAGATGGAAATCAAGGAGTTTGAAAAATCTATGGTAAGCAAGGGAAGATAACTATTTTCAAAGTTCTTTTGAATTCTTAAATTATTCATTTTTTAAAATTTAGATGAACTTGCTGCTTGGGGTTTTGGGGTTTTGGGG